TATTATATTTTAATCAATAACTTTCTTTAAAGTCCATGAATGATGATTATTTTTTTAGAAATTTGTTCATAAAAAATTGGCGATTCGATATAGCCTTTTTTCAAAAGTTTATCATCGTTTCTTCTGAGTTATTTTCGAGATGAAAGCAAAGTTTCCTTTGGATTATTGCTGATTACCGTAAGAGTGCATGCAAATTTTAAGTCACTATAATTTTCCCAAAAAGCCATGAATTGATTTGAAATTTTACAGGTAGCTTTTTAATAGTAATAGGAGTCTATAATAACAAATTCTACATGCTAGCACCGTTTAAGTATACAGTCTATACACCCTTAAGTCACGTCGGATTAAAGAACGAAATGGGAGATACTCATAATAATCGAGAGATCGACCTGAACAGTCTTTGTGACGACGCAACTATAGAGGAGATATAAAGGAATCGGCGCAGCTTCTGTACTCCAGTCGCATCCATAAATATCCGCGTGTTTCCTCGCGGTGAGACCGCGCGTTGGAATCCGAGAAATCTTGTTGTTTCCATTGTTGCTCCGAGCCTGAATCTACGAATGCTTCTAGTTCGATTTTCCTGAATCGATAATCGTCTAATTTGAAAACACGGCGAGAGAATAAGGAACTTGTTTGAGCAAACCCGAGGCTGGGTGATCTGAAAGCACAATGGGAACGCAATAACCGTTTAATAACAATGCCGCAGCCAAGCCCTCGGGCCACGCGCATTGTTCCACCGCGTTGTGCAACGGCGTATCGGAAAATAGGGACTTATCATCATCGGCGCGTAGCTCGCGATTAACACGCTCTCTCGCTACCTGAAGTAGAGGATTCGCTGATTAAAACCGTGCGCGGCTGCCGCTTCGTTCTCGACGGAACGCGTCGGCACGCTACTCGTTAGGTGCTAATGAGTAAACCGCGGATTTCATGCATTTATCAGGTCAGGGGACAAGAAATGTGTTTTTCAAATACAATGCATTCCCTTCTCGTATCGTGCATTCGATAGGTATTATAAACAGTAATAAGAACAGGTCTATGTAATGATCAGAGTACAGGACGATGAAAATCGTTGAACGTGATTGTAAGTTACTGGAAGACGATGCACTCGAAACATCTATACTCATGTTTGACTTGCAAAAGGTAGAAGCGATAACGGCTTTTGGCAGACGAAGCGTGCCAGGTATATTCCTCCCCGTCGTGGCACCGATCCAGACCAGCTTCGAAAACCCGCGTCAACGTTTCTTCCTTTAATCGTTCGCTCTGCGTTTCTCGTTATTGTTCAATCGGCCCGACAGGCGAACAGACGAGAAATACCAATGGTAAATGAGAGTGGCGGGACGAATGATAATAAGTACCCTTGGATAGCCGAACATGTTTCCAGTCTAATCGTGCAATCCCTTGGTCGTCCCAATTAATTTAGCGCCACTCGACGTCATAAGAAAAAAAGTAGATAACAAATAATCTGATGAAAAACGAACGACGTAGAGGCGTTTCTGAAAGGGTCGTCGAGGTATGCAGAAACGACCTCTACGCGAAGCGAAGAGATCTTGAACTCGTTTCGAGACAAAAGTATAAGAGCCGACCGGTCGAACGTCTTACCGTGGAAGGAGGAATTTGGACGGCGACCAAAACGCCCGATATAAGCCACCCCGAGAGTGGTGAGAACGAAACCGCGCGAGAAGACGACACCGATGCTTCTCGATCGCCTCGGTGGCCTCTCGAGGCACCGGCTCGTCCGGCCGAATTAGACATCGTTTCCAGGAAGACGTACCTCTCCTCTTCGCATTTACACTCGCACTCTACGATCTTTAATTTTGCGACCGAGCGGTGAGACCTCGGATTATCTTGCAAACCGAAACCGAGAGAAATTCTTGGAACCATTGATCGAAAAGGATCGAACGATTTACCGTCGTCGAACACCGATTTACCTGCGCCTTATTTTGAACCTCGTGGCCGGTCCTCCAAGTGTTGATAGCCGGTTGCCGAGGTCCTCGTTTGTCGAGCAACAACTCGCTCGGGCACTTCTCAAAGATCAAAACGCGTTCCGCTACCGATCCCCTTGTCAGAAACGGTCTGATAGGGTTGTTTCCGGTTCCAGTCGCGGCCGCGGCTCTTATATGCTGTTTCTGTTGCGTGGTCAACTCCGGATGTGGCACTTGTTCAATACGAGGCCTCGGCGAATTGATCCTCGGTCCCCATCTGGACGTCACGGGATCCTTCTCCTCTTTGTTCGCTTCCCTGTCCTTCTGTATCTCCGTTTCAAACTTAGACCTCGTGGTGGATACCAGCTGCTCCGTAGAATTGAAACTGTTGCTGGTCCTCTGCTCCTCCAGCCTCTGCTGGGTCGGAGGATTTTGCTGAGCCGCTCTATACCTGACCTTCGCGTAATCCACTACCGACATGTTCGACAATTCGTTCTTGGTCAGAGCTTTCGCATCCGCGGACACAGTCACGTTACTCGCAGGCGTCGCAGACGCGACATTGTTCACCATGGCAGCGGAAGCTGGCACTAGGCCGGTGCCGTGATGATTGTGACCGATTATTATCGGTTTAACAGGCTCCACTTTCGGCTTCTCCTTCTTTATCGCGGGTTTTTCTTTTCTCTGAAGGCTCTTGTCCACCGACACTCTTTCCTGCTTTCCCTCCGTGATGACAGAGCCCGTTTTCAACGCGTGCAGCAGTCTTTCCTCCACGCGAGCGACTTCGTCAAGGTACACGCTCGAATTCGAGTCGCTGTTCCTTTTCTCCTCCTTGTTCGTTGTCGACTTCATTTCCTGCGATCGCGAGGAATCGGCCACCCTTTTACTGTCGTTCAGTTTGTTCTTTAACGGCCACGTGGTCAGCCCCGAGTTCGTCGAAGAGTCGTTCAGGTTCGATGCAGTGGGAGAGGTGATCAACGTGCTGGTCGGCCTCTTCTGTTGCACGACTATTTTCGACGGGGTTATATCCGCTGGGAAAGTGGTCTCGATGGTTTCCAGGAACACCTCCCGGTGATGCGCACCGGGTGTCTTCGTAGACACCTGAGGCTTGACTATCTGCGAGGGTTTGTTCGCGAAAGGCGAGGTCGGCGATAGCAAAATGTTCCCCTGTTGCTTCGCCTTCGCCTGGCCTACGACCGAGCTACTCTTCAAAGGAGACGTTTGCTGCTGCTGTTGCTGATGCTGTTGCACAGAATTCTTCTCGAATTTCTCCAACGCGAACTGTATCGACGAGGGCAAGGTCTTGGACGGCGATCTCTGCCTCGACGCAGCTATCCTAGCCTTGTCCTCGACCACGAAGTTGTTCACCAACTTCTCCAGATTCTCGTTGTCGAGATTCGGCGCTTGGCTCAAAATGTCCACCGCCGTGGCGCCGCTCGTAGGACTGTTTTTACCGCTGTTCGACGCTGAAGTCGGCGTCAGGGCGCTGCCGAACTTGTCCGCCGCGGTGGCATTGCTATGGCAGTTGAGTATCTCCGTCGGTGCCAGTCCGCGGCTCTTCCAAGTCTGATAAATCGCCTCCGCGTGGTCGCTGATCTGCTTCGCGATCGCCGCGATGTCCTCGTCGCCGGACGTCGCGGCGGTGTCCGTCGGGAACTTGCGACGCAGGTCAGGTTTCGCGGTCGCAGCCATGTCGTCCCGCGGCGTACGACGCAGCTGAGGGTGGTGCTCGATCAGGAAGCTGGCCGTGCGTCTGCTCAGCTCCGCCGAATGGTCCAACACGAGCTCGGCGAGCCGCGAGTCGGTCTCGAGCGGTATCACGTTCACCGGGATCGCGTAACCAAAGTGGATCGCCTGGCAATCGACTTGGTCGCGGCCGGACCTGGTCTCGTTCACCAGACAGGCGTTCAGGTCTGGACAGTGCACGGCCCGGCTCGGCCTTGGATCGACGGTCACGGGGACGAATAGTTCGCGTCGGGTCGCGCAGATCCGGCGCTCGGTCGTCTCGATTTCTATCGCCAGCTGCCGGCCACCGACGCCGCCGGATCCCGCCGTCGCTCCTCTGTACCTCCTCGATACTTCCGTTGAGGATGCTTCCGTGATCACCGAGCCCGCTGCTGCAGGCATATCTCAGGCCAGCTGGCCTGAAAATCTCGTTCTCCACGGCCACGACGGAAGTCGAGCCATTGACCACGCGATCTTCACTCCTTCCGCGTGTCTTCCCATTCTTGTTTCTTTCTCTTTATCGATTCTTCTTGTTTCTATTCGTAACGTTAAGCACGCTTTTCTCGTTGAGCATCGAACGACGAGTCACACGGGCGAAGTTTAGGTACTCGAATGCACCGTGCGCGAGTTCACGTTCGAGTACACTGTCAGCATCATATAGTTTAATTATAGACCAAGTATGTCTACTGTCACTGCGGTGGTATTCGATTCTTGACGGTCACGCGGCTGATGCCGGTCGATCGCCGCTACATCGTCGCGTTCCACGGTGCCACGACGAGCGGGATGATCTGAAAGAAGATAAATATAAATTAGTATCCACCTCGGATCAGATCCGAGCCGAGATGTATTTTCGGATATGATATGCGCGGTACGCAGTATAAATCTCGCCCTTTGTCTCGCGTCTACGCAATTAGAAATGATCCCAGCACCCGCGTCTAACCAATTAAAACTAGAATAAACATGCCGAATTCGTTATTCGTTACGACATTGAATTAAAAAAAAAACAGACACTCTTCAGGTCTCGAGAACCTTTAAGGTTCTATTATAGATTTTGGCGTCTCGGGAGATAGCATAACTTGGTCGCCTTTACTTATTTTTGTACGATAAAATTATTTTACACAGTTCATTTATAGGCAAATACATCCATAAAGTTTAAAAAAATTCCATAGAATATTTTTCTTAAAAAAAATGATCTAATTTTGAGACGGTTGCAATCAATCCGAAAGGTTTATGTCACTATAATTTTTCAAAAAATCCGTGAATTGATTTAAAATTTTGCAGGTAGCTTTTTGATAGTAATACGAATCTATAATAACAAATTCAACGCGCTAGCATTGTTTATATACTATATAGCCTATACATCCTTAAATCATGTAACGCGTGTTTAACGGAAAGCAGCTGTTGCACACGAGGCAAGCCGACAAGTCGTATAAAATAATTGAGATTTCGAATCAAGAAATTCTTGTATCTCGGCAGGTCGCGACGCATTTTTACACAATTTTTTAATCAACTCCTATCGATCCATGCCGTGAGGTCTGATAACGAGACTTTTAATATCATAAAAGTCTACCAGGAAATTAATTATGAAAAATCGTGCTCGGTTTACGTCAACCTCGATCTCACAGTTTTACTCCGTATTTGTTAACAGCCTTTGTCCAAGCTGAATCACGGACACGCCGTATCGGTACTTTCACCCTGCATTGCTACGCGTATGCAAATGCACGCGTACGAGCCGTGATCAAGCGTGCGTGCAGCGCACAGCTTCGACTCGTTGGAAGCCGGGCACGTTTCACGTTCCTCACGTTTTACCGCTCGTATTCCCTTCCGTCCCTTACGCCCTTTTCATTGCCCTTTATAGCCGAAGGAAATTTGTATTCCTCGCGCGGGCTTCTCTTTGTCTCCGACCGACCGAATCGTGCGTTTGGCGACCGGTCATTTTCAACTTCACCATTTCCCTCGTGTCACAATTAAAATCGCTTCAACTCTTTACATATTACATAAACTACCGACAATCTAATCTCAATCCTTAATGCTCCTTTTAATTGTGAATATCGTCCGGCAAATCTAACTTATTCTCATCATACTCCGACTTGCAAGTTTTTAAGTGCCAGATTTTAAATGCTACAATAACGTGTACACGTATTTCTTTTTAACCCTTTGCACTCGAGGCCTTTTGCGCTCGAGCGAACCAGCAACTCGAGACGATTTCGGCTATATTAGAGAACTTTAGGGGTACTTCAAATCATTTTATACCCAAAAGAACGTATACAAATAATAAAATTTTACCAATTTTTTCATTTTTATTGAATACAACAAAATCTGTTAAATATTACAGTTTGCAATTAGTCTCCGTGTAGCGGCGCCGCTCGAGTACAAAGGGTTAAAGTCATTGAAAACAATCTTTATTCATCTCAGGAGTAATATAATTTTGATTGTAATATTTACATTAATTATAATTGAGTAGCTTGGGAGGTGCCTGAGAGGCACACTTGGAGCGTTAAGGGTTAATTCGTTAGTCGATTCGTTTACTGTTCAATTTATTATTCATGGAAAAGCTCAAAGACGTTACAGAGTAGTTCTATTCCACTTTGAATCAATTTTCTTCAGAGTTCTAAAAAATCGAAACGAAGAAAAGCTTCGAGCGTTAAGGGTTAATATCAATCGAAGAAATCTCAGTGAACGTGATATTTCTTCTCATCTTTGTACCAACGAGAATCTCCTTGGGAATAATTAACAAAATCTTCGTAAACAAGAAATTTCGGGATTTTATATTCTTAAGAGTTTGGCTATCATTGATTGGAAAGTCTAAGAAACTGCGATTCTCGAATCCTTCCTCGGTACTGTCGCAGCGATTCGAAACTTTCGTCGCTAGGAGAATTCGTGCTTTCTATTTCCGTTAATGGAAGAGTCGGTCTTATGTCTTTTCTGCCGAATCAGCGTCACGCGTTTCTGACTTTCAATGCGTCTTCTACTTTCCACGATTCTCGGTTTCTCAATCCCTCTCTCTCCCCCCGAGACACGATGCTAGATCGCAGGATTGGATCAACTCGAAACGACTATTCGCGAGAACATTTATGTCACCGGTGATATACACCTCCGTTCATAACTTACAAGTATCTGTCGACCATCGAGAAATCTGACAAACATTTCATCGGAGTCTTTTACGATATGCTCTAAAGTTTAATTCGTCATCTAATTTCGTTATCCAAACCATTGTTATAATCGGAAGAGTTTTTTTTTTTTTAATCCTTAGTTCTTAGCAATGAAACCAGAAATCAGTTTCTTGTAAATCAGGGAGGATACCTGTTGCGATGGATAAACGATAGAACGTTTTCTAAAAATTCATTGAACGTCGCATGTTCAAGTTCATCTCTACACGAAGCTGTGTTAAGGGTCTAAAATACGAACGTGTTCGGAACATTTTCGTCGCTACGAATAACAGAGTTTGTTGAGAGTTTTTAACATCCTTGATGTCAACGACCGGTGAAACATTCTCGACGGTTTTACGAAAAAAAACACTCGAGTCAATCTTTGCTTCCAAGTTATCTCCTGACGGGAGTTAACGAGGACCAGCTTGTAACGCGGTAGGCAACGTATTTTACCAGCGTTCTGGCAACGAAAGTTCGTAGCGGCCGATATCCTAAATTTAAATATATCGCTAGGGATAACGAGGATAGGTGACGCAACGCGAAATAGCATAGATTCTTTACGAGGACGTGATGTAATCTTCAAAAACGAATATTTTTACCGGTTCGTAACGAAACGGGACGCGTAGGGCATACGGGTTTCGGCGTGCCACCGCGGGAGCACAGGCTCGATAAAAATTAAGTGTATAGTTCCCTCGACCCGGTTTCCGACTAACTACCAGGACGTGCACGTGAATCGACGACCTGTATGCGAGTGATTACAGGTTGGTTTCGCGATTTTTCCTCAATTCCACGTGTTCCAATTTCTGATAAAGATGTGACTTCTGTTCTTCGGAACGTAACAATTAGACTAAAGATTCCGAGTTCCTTGCGAATTTTAACGACTGATCAATCTTAATCCTCTATTAAACAAGTCTGTACGATTTTCTGTATTCAATAATTTCGAGTGAGATTCCTTTTCCAGCCTGGAAGAATTATTACCGGACTTCATATTCGATACCATCGAGGAAATACTATTAAAGAATGGCGTCTAATTGTTGGGACAGCGAATGAGGCCAATTTTTTTGTTAACTAATTATTGACGTTAACGAAAAATTTTGTCAAGAAATTTTTCACAAGAAATGTAGGCACTGACGTTCTCTACAAGAAAGGTTGTATGCATTTTTCTTCTACAGTATTTAACAAGTTAAGTATATNTCTTTATTGAAGTTTATAAATTATTCTAGTTATTTTTAATTACAATTGTGATACATTTCCAAAGAAAATAAGATCACAAAACTGATAAAAAAACTTTTTTTTACAATTGCTATCAAAATGACCTGATTTTTCAACTCAAATAACCAAGAATTCTAGGAAATGGTCATTCACTGGTCGGTTTACCCCTAAGTATAATTAGTACAAGTATTAATAGGCATTTTATGGGCACTGACAAAATTCGGCCATTTCACCAAAGGTCATATACAATTTTCTCCTATCTCGAATACTTCAGGATTAATCAATTAATAATTTCATTTATCGTCAATTACTCTTTAACGAGTAGTTTATACGGTTTCCAGCACCGACGAGTGTTTTGCTTTCTACTTCGATGGCAATATATTCTAAAAGGCGTAAAAAATCACGGACTTTTTCGCGCAAAGTTCCATAAGGTTGCCAGTCTCTTTAGTAATCTTTCCTCGGCATCGATGCTAAGTAGATATTTTTCGAAAAACAGGAGTTTGCTTAAAAAACACGTTGGCCCCGGGACGGTGCCAGGACCTCGAATACGTTCCCCGCGTGATTAACTCGCGATCGTCGACATCGCAGACCCGATAAGCGAACGCGTGGCTCGGAATGGCCCGTGCTCGAGCTTGTCACGTATGCATCGTCGTGCGGCGGCGGCGACTCGGTTCTTCGTAGAAGGTATACGTAGCAGCGTCGCATAACTCGGTCACGTTTGCGGTTTGCATCGTTAGAATACGATACGGCCCACTAAAAATAGCGGCCGAGCCGATATCGATAGGCATGCCGTAAAACGGTGTCAATCCTCTAATCGGAACCACACGGTTCCGTACACGCGACAGGTTTCCGCGTCCTCGCAACAACCCCGGCCTCTTCTCCCAGATTCTGACGAAAACAGCGATAATTGAATTTCACGTTTTACTCTCTTATAGACAAGATAGATAATTGCAAACGACGTTAAAGCGCATGCAATATCAAAAGTAAAATAGATATTCTTCTCTCGAGGATTTATAAGAAATTTCTACGTATGAATGTGTTCAATTATGGATAGTCTCATAAATTATTTCTTAACGTGTCGATCTGTCCTAATCTGCACTTCAATATCTCGTTAACACTAAAACTACCAATCCAGTGGAAATGACTGGCTTTGGACGAAGAGATGCATATACAGGGTGAACCACGAATCGTGATCAGTAGAGATTATTTTCTGTTATTAGCAGTCCAATCGAAAATGTTTCTATCAGGTACAGCATGGTTTCAAGAGAGCTTTCACGTGATTATAGCAATTTTTTGTCGGCTCTTTTTTTTCATGATTTATCAAGGCCACCTTCAATTTTTTGAAAATACACCTAAAGTAACATGAAAGTTATGTTATAAGACTTATCGAATTCGTCTTGAAATCCTCTAATAGATAGACGTAAAAA